CGTCACCCCTAGGAAAGTGGATGAGGTTGGGTCTCAGTGCATCACCCGAAAGATGAGCTGTAATGCCAGCAAAAACACCCTTGCCCTGTGACCAGACTCTATGCTTTTCCTAACACTTCTTCTTTTTCTCTGCCATATCAGTGTTCTTCATACTCCTATCTGCTCCAAGGGTATTACATCACAATTGGCAGTTTCTTCTGTGGTTGACTTATTTCCTTCTAAGACTCAAACAGAAGAGTTCTGCATTGGATTACTCTCAGCATGGCTGCTTTATCACACTTAGGGAGATAGTTCGGTAATCAAAATACTGTTCGGACAGGTCCTACAGAATCTAAAGTTTGGACTGTAGTTTATAGTATATCTAAAACATACTCGACTGAATATTATACACCAGACACTGTCGTCCACACTGGGAACCTACTGAGGGCAAAGGAACCATTTGAACCTCTCTTCCAAGAAGTGATAACCCTAACTGTATACTGAGGACATTCCTAAGACATAGGCTGGCACTGCAATTTGTTTTTTCTTCCAAGATAATCCCCTGCAAGAAATGGCCTAGATAACCGTGTGCATTCTTCGATTATTCACGTGTAGTACTTGAATGCATGTTTGTTCATACCTGCCCAGAGGTGATGCACTGCGCCTCCCAAGCATGGAGGTCCTTTCTTGCAGATCTCAGTGCTCCCACAGTCTACTGCATTGGCTCCTGAAAAGGAAACCTCAGAATGTGTTTGACTGAAATGGAACAGTAATTAAATCCGATACAAATGACTTGGTTTGTGAAAGGCCACCTTGATATAATGCCAAGCCTTCACACTCGCCGCATGTGAACCATTCCCTCTCACCAGGTTACTTATTTACTGTCTTGCTTGTTCTCACCTCTGCTTTCTCTTGGTCACGGTTTCCTCCTAAAGTGAGTGCAGATCGCTTTACTCAGCACCCTGTGTGCCCCATTTTGATTCGTGGGCTAATTTAAGAATATGCCCCATCATTTGAGGGTGGACACTTTAAATTTCCGCTGTGCACTTCCTATGAAACATTCTGCTAGTGAACTGCTTGCAAGTATTGACATAATATGTCCCTTTGTAATAACATAAACCATGATTCCAGGGGCTTCCTTTCGATGTTTGCAATCACTGTTAGCCATGTGCTCTGTGATGGGCTAATTCTTACACTTGCTGTTTCTGTTTGAACAACTGCACAACCTTTATTCCTGCGGCACATCGTGGACCATTGGGTGGCCGCTTGGTACCAGCACATTTTTGAGTGTGACTTTTCTCCTTAGCCAGAGATTATTCATGTGTCATTGTTATTCTGCCACACTGTCGTTTTCCAAATGTTAGATAAAGATCTCCATTCTGAAAAGATTTTTCTATGCCGATAGAGTTCAGCTGTCTTACTGCAAAAGATAAGCTTACAACTGCTTAAAATCACAAAAGGAATGCAGAAATGTTCAAGTTATAGTTGTCATTGTGGTCTTAGGATGTGCCAACCTGAGAGCAGCCAGACGTGCTTCCAAGACAAAAAATTAAGTGCTCTCGTACTGCAAACGCAGCGGTGAGCTGCCTGCTGTCACTCAGGGCGCTTATGTTCATGTTAGCAAACATATACACAGTAAAAAACTCTCCCCATGCCTTGCCTGAGGAGGAATGTTCACATCCTTCCTACTTTCTAAGTGTTTCTAATATACACAGGCATCCCTTACTTAGGAATTGATGTATTCCAGAAGTTCCTTTGTAAGATTATGGTCTGAAACTGTAGATGTATTTTCCTCTGTAAGTAAGGCTAGCAATGACATTTCAGTTATGCCAATCAGTAGCATCTGACTTTATCTTTGATTGAGTGGACCTTCAACACAACTTACCACAAGTCCTCTAGAGAAAACTACACCCAGAATTCTCACTGGATTTCCCCATAGCAGAATATTCTTTCCTTGGAACCTTGGGCAGTAGAAGCAGGTCTTACCAGTGCGGTGCTGTTGGAGTTTCCCTTTCTGGCCCATAGCCTTAAGGATTGGGTCATAGGAGTAAGGAACGAGGTGGGGTAGAGTTTTGGAGAGGAGAGGGAGACAGGTTGGGGTGTTGTGAAGATGTATAGGATGTATAAGGGGAAGTAGGAGTGATTTGGGAGGACTGGTGAGTTTCTAAGGGGGAGAATGTATCCTCAAAGAAGATAGGTTAAATCCTGACTTCTCGGACCTCTGAATGTGGCCTTATTTGGAAACAGGGCCTTCGCAGATAAGATAAGATGTAAGTTAAAAATGAGGTCTCGGGCCCTCCCTGGTGGCGCAGCGGGTTACAGCACAGCACTAAGAGGCTGAAGCCACTTCCGCATGAGTTTGGTCCCTGCCCCAGAGATGACCCCCATGGCGCGGCAGACCTCTCCTGACCCGCCCGCTGCTCCCCTCAGCAGTGGACTTCATCAGCCAGCCTGTTCTGCTGCCCACTCTGTCTCTGGGGAAGCCTCTCGCCGCCCCTGGACCTCTGGCCTGTACCCCAGCTCTGTATGCACAAATGAATAAAGCTTTTAAAAAAATGAGATCATTCTGGAGTCATTGTCCATGCTATAAGAAAAAAGGCACAGAATGCCCTGTGAGGACTGGGGCACGCGTGGAGCACATCATGTGCTGTGTGACTACGGAGACAGCAAACTTGAAGTGTAGTGGCAAGCCAAGGAGGGCCACGGACGGCCTGCGCACCATGAGGAGCAAGGAACACGCAAGGAAGCGAGCTCCCTACAGGCTTTAGAGGGAGCATGACCGGCCAGCATCTTGATTTCAGGCTTCTGGCCACTAGAATCTGAGGCGGTAAGCATCCGCTGTGAAGCAGCATTTGACACTTTGTCACAGTAGCCACAGGAACAGTATTGTGAGTGAAGCGAGGTAGTACTGGGATGATGATTCCGGGACCACGGAAGTCGGGAAGAGAACTGCAGAGAACAGTGTTGAGACGGGGATCATGTGACTCCCTTTATCTTTCTTCCCCTTCTCTGGACCTGACTTTGTCCTTCCTTTTCTTCTGGAGCATCATACACGGTAGCACCTCATGGCTTTCCGGGCATTCAATACTGCGGGTAATTGGCACAGCCAGTTGCTTGCCACAGTTGTTTCTGTCACCTCTGTGCTCGTTAAGATGTTATCGAGTTTTTTTTAAAGGTTTATTTACTTGTGCATACAGAACTGGGGTACAGGCCAGAGGTGCAGGGGGTGAGAGGATTCCCCAGAGCCAGGGTGGGGCGCAGAACAGGCAGTGGCTGAAGTACACAGCGGGTGGGACAGGAGAGGTCTCCTGCGCCCTGGGGGTCACCTTCCCCCCACCTCTGCCTGTAAATTATTGGTAGCAGTACAGAAGAATTCTCTCTGGATATGCAAATGCCGCCTTTCATACGCTCACGGAACTCTTCCTTCCCAATTTTCCCTGCAGTTATATTCGTGCCAGTATGGCAGCTATGCATTGTCCTGTGGGCTGCTTGTAGCCTCTTCATCGTCCCCTCGTTAATAATGAGTTAAGGAAAATCTTCAGTACCTGCTCATTAAAAAAAAAAAAAAGACATTTATTAGCCTCTTTTGATAAGTTCATGCCACTAGATAAGAAGACTGGGCTGTTCTGTGAGAAAAAAATAGTATAAATAAACTTGAGAAAAGTAATCTTAATCTGATATTGTTTTAGAAATGTTTCGTTTTTGAAGGCTGTTACATAATTTATGAAACCATCCCTCTCGTGTAGAAGATTTGGGTTATTTTCACTGTGTTTCTATTATAGATAATAGTAGATACAGCATAGAAGTAACATTTTGGGTTTTAGAATCATACCTGGGTTTTTGCTTTTTTTTTTAAGATTTTTATTTATTTGTGAATACAGAATTGCGGTACAGCCAGAGGTGCAGGGGTGGCGAGAGGCTTCACCAGAGACAGAGCGGGGAGCAGAACAGGCAGATGGACGAAGCAGTGCCGAGGGGAGCAGCGGGCGGGTCAGGAGAGGTCTGCCGCGCCATGGGGTCTCCTCCGGGGCAGGCGGGGATCGAAGTCATGCGGAAGCGGCTTTAGCTTCTCAGTGCTGTGTTGTAACCCGCTGAGCCACCAGGGAGGGCCTCATACCTGGGTTTTAATCTCTTACTGCTTCCTAGTGCTGTAATTTTGGGCTAATTATTTAAGTCATCCATACTTTAGTTTCCTGATCTATAATGTGAACATCATAATAGAGATAATTTCATCAAGATGAGGATTAAAGGAGTTAATCACTGTAAATTACTGTTAATAGGGGTCTTTGTGAATCTAGAGTCTAACTTAGCTGAACTAATTCCCTAGGATAAATTTCCAGGAAGGGATGCTTATGCTCACCTGTAACAACATCTTTGTCTCTTAGCTGCCTTATCCTCATTGCTTTTCAGAGGTTAATAGCAATTTATGCTGTATAGTTTTTAAATGCAGCCTATTGACGTAGTACAACCTAACAGTGTGGATCACGTGTTCATTACATTTTATAGGCACATACATACATGTACTTAACTCATTTGGTATGCCTCTACATAATATGCATATCAGTGTGGTTTAGGTTGTGTGTACAAGCCTGACTTACAGTAAGTCTGTCACTTTGAATGTTATAGTGCCTTGGCCAGTAATGTTTCCAGGTTGGGCCTCCCTGGTGCACGGGTTAAAGTCCCCGCGTTATCATCAAGCTGTCGCCAGCCTCTGTGGCATGAGTTTCATCCCTAGCCAGGGAGCTGACCAGCATGGCACAGCAGACCTGTCCCCGCCCACTGCTCCCCTCAGCAGTGGATTTCAGTGCATCAGTCTGTTGTGCTCCTTACTCTGTGTCTGGCGAATTTTCTCACCCTCTGCACTCCTGGCCTACATCCCTTTCTTGTATGCATAAATCACTAAAATATATCTTAGAAAAAAGGTTCCAGGTAAGGGTTGGTAAGTGATAATAAGTTACTTTTGAAAGAACATGTCAAGGAAATGTTATAACTCTTGTGTGCCTTTTTTTCCTTTTGATAGATTGAAGCCATGGCCATTCTTTTTGCTGTTGTTGCCAGGGGAACCACTATCCTTGCCAAACACGCTTGGTGTGGAGGAAATTTCCTGGAAGTGACAGAGCAGATTCTGGCTAAGATACCATCTGAAAATAACAAGCTAACTTACTCCCATGGCAGGTGAGTTCTCTGCATGTGGTAGGGAGAAAGAAGTGAATTCTGTCATTTTACAGGAACAGTAGAGCAGGAGACTAGTAACCTTTACCATCTTAGAGAATGTCCAGGTCTGTTGGTGATAAACTTAACTTGTAATTATTTTATTGTGCCATCAAAGTGATATTAATATTTTAAAGATATGGAAATTTGTAAAAATGATTTTTCTGTAGAGCTTTAGTATATGTGAAATGATACAGATAAAATAAAGTTCTTCTGTTCATTCTTTTAGTAAATATTTACTGAGCACCTGACTATTGCCAGGAACTTTGCTTGATGCTGGGGATCCAAGAAGCACAGTCTTTGTCGTCACAGAGGTTATAGTGAATGAAGGAGATAGTCAAATCCATAGAAAACCATACTGGAAGGTTGAAGGGAGGAGGATGACGTTCCAGCTGGTAGAGATGGTGCTCTGTGACGGGTGCCCTGAGTGGTGAGAATAAAGCTAGAGACAGGCAGAAGAGAGGTCATGTAGGGTCTTGGGCCATGTTAAGGGGCTTGGCCTTTACCCTGTGGCCTGTGGAAGGCATTGAAGGTTTTCAGTGGCAGTATGACGTAGTCAGCTCTTACTGTAGAAGGATCACTCTGGGGGGGGGGGGGGAATGGACTGACAGGGACATAAATGGGAAGTCTTAGAAATCAGATAAAACATACCTCAGCCGTCTTCATCAGCACCTAAAAAACTCTTGTTACTTCTTGGCCCATCATTACTTCCTGAGTTAGCGGCTCAAAAGCAGGTCCTTATTGCTTTCCAAGGCTGACTCCTTATATAACTTAGGATCTAGTCTAAGATACTACAAGATGGGTCTAAACATACAGTGCTAGCGTGCATGAGAGCCCAAAGATGAGTGATTCAAGGCCTTGGGGTGGCTTTACCTCCGATTCTGGCCACTGCAGGCTCTTCCAATTCAGGTCTCCACACTGCTTCTGATATTCTTAAAGGCAAAGGTCAGAAGTGGCCTGACATTTTATTGTTCATAAACTGCCTTGTTATACAGCTCCCCTACCTAGAAGGGAGGCTAGTGCAGGCCATTTCTGGCTGTCCAGTCACATCCTCAGCTTAAACTCTCTGCCGGAAGAAGTGATAGGCTGTCTGGAGACAGCTTCTGGGCTACTTGAATGTCTGGGTGCACTTTTCTCCCCAACATAGAGCACACAGTCTCTCTACATCGGATGGCCCCGAGGACTCATCTGGTCACCACATCTAGCTCTGACTCTAGAGTGTCCGGGGAGGAGGGGGCTCCTTGATGACACCACATCTTGTTACTCTTCGTAGTCCTTGCACTAAGTTAAACCCAAATGTGTGTCAGGAGAAAACCTTTGTGGGAAAAATGATTACCGTTTTGGAAATGTTTTAAGTTGTCTGTGCTATGTCCTGTTGGAAATGGCCAAGTAGACAGTAGCATATGCAGGCCTGAAGTTCAGGAGGAAGTCAGACTTAGCTTTAGAAATCATCAGTGTGGTTGTGATAGTTGAAAACAGTCATCAACAAAACAAGAGTAGACGTGTGAGAGGCAGGGGCCAAGTTCGCAGAGACTAGCGCGTGAGCCTGGCAAGCTTAATGCCCCCCCAGTCTACTGGAAAGTGTTTGTTCAGCACTGTCACGTGCTTCAGAGGGAGAGCCTCTGGGTGGGCATGTGGGAGTGAGGGTGGAATTAGGAGTTTTATAATAGTGGAGGAAGACGTGCCCGAGTTCCATTAGTTCCATTCTTGGTAACTCATGTCAAGCGCCCGTGCGAACAGTGATAACCCCACAGCCATTCGTCTGCCCCCTTGCCCAGGTGGGGATGTGGGGTGTGGGCTGAGCTGTCCTTCTGCCTCCTCCCTCAGCAGCCACTCCTCAGGTTCTGTTTGCCTGTCTCTCCGCCCCCTCCTTCGACGCAGGGAGGACTCTTGGCCTTGCCATGGCGTACTGCCCGCTTGCCTGGTTCTCCTTTCAGCCAGCTCACCATACTCTAGCCAAAGCATCTTTTTAAAAATGCGAATCAGAGCAAAGCCCCCCCAGGCTTGAACCTTTTAAATGCTTAATGTTAGGATAATGCCCACTTGGTTCATGAAGTTTCAGAGCACCTGGCATTTGCTCACGTCCCCAGCCTCATCTGGATAGGCAGCTTACTTCCCCTTACATCCCCATGCTCTAGCTTGTGAACTAAACTCACTTCCGCACTCATGCTGTGCTTGTTCTCTCACTCTGCTTGTTCTTCCCCTTGACATCTCGCGCCTTACTCATTCGGTTTCAGTGCGCATCACTGGCTCCAGCAGTGTTTTCCGGTCACCTTGGCACATCTCAGTGCGGAGCCGCCTCTGTGAGACAGCACACACTGCCTTCTGCTCCTTACCCTGCCTGCTGCACTGCACTGGTCTGTGAAGGCAGGGCTGAAGGTTTTGCTTGTTGGTGTCCTCAGCACCCAGCCCAGTACCTGGCTCAGAGTAAATACAAGCAAATGTAGAAAAAGTGCTTGCTTTGGGATCTTTTTTTTTTTTTAAGATTTATTTATTTATTCATACAGAACTGGGGTACAGGCCAGAGATGCGGAGGGCGAGAGGACCCACCAGAGACAGAGTGGGGAGCAGAACAGGCAGATCGTCGAAGTCCACTGCTGAGGGGAGCAGCAGGCGGGTCAGGAGAGGTCTGCCGCGCCATGGGGTCACCTCCCGGGCAGGCGGGGCTTGAACTCATGCAGAAGTGGCTGAAGCTTCTCAGTGCTGTGCTGTAACCCGCTGCGCCACCAGGGAGGGCCCTGCTGTGGGATCTTAAGGGAGACAAGACCATGGCACAGAGAGCGTTAGTCTTGATTATTTGTCCCTTCTGAGATACCATCTTTTGTTCATACCTTAAGAGTACAGTCATGCTTTTGAATGGTTAGCATTCTCGTGGTTGATACGCCTGTCATTGTACCATACGTACACAGAATAAAGATCTTTTAGTTTCCTATGCATTCCTATCAGTTTGACTTGAGAGAAATAGGTATGTGGGAATAGGTATCAGTAAACAATATAGTGACAATGTTAGTATTGAATTTGCTTACAAATGCAAGTGAAAGCGATATTGCTCATACCCACAATAAGCTTTATATCTTCTGTTCTACAGCTATTTGTTTCATTACATCTGCCAAGACAGGATTGTTTATCTTTGTATCACTGATGATGTAAGTAACTGAAGACACTGTTATTTAACTCTCCTTACTGTTAATAGAGATGGTTCTTAATCATTTATCTCTGTGGTAGGTGATGTGACTGTCACTGTCCATACTGGAAAGTTTTTTCTCTGCTTTGCATTTATCATTTTGAACAGCAGATGACAAGAAAAGTCAATACCTGGGTATATACAAACCATCTCAGTTCGGGTGTGGTTTTAACAGCCTCTTGCAACTTCTACATTTAGCCTATAATGTAGTGAGAATTGATATTCGTAATTATGACGCTTTGGTATTAAATCCCCTCCAAAGTTACTTATCCAAAATATCAAGTTAGATTCATTCTTGTACTCTTCTAGTCAATGGTGGATTTTTTTAATGAGTATGGAATCTGGGAAAACAAAATCACAAAGCATTATGATCAACTTTGTAAATCTGTAGCTCACATTATTAATCTGTTTTTGGAGTATTTATAGACTCCATACTTACATGCTCAATCACTGTCATTTCGAGGGCCTCTCACTCCTCTGATACCCTAAGTGTTGGCTTCCTCCTGTAAGCACCCACCTCAAGGCTACGTGGAGCTCGTGCTTTTGCTCATGTCCAGAAAGGGGGTTTGTGCCATGTTTGTTTCTTGTCATGGGGGTGAGGAAATGGTTCCTGGAAATATGTCCTTCCCTCTGTGATCATGTCCTCTTGGCTAGGAATCAGTTGCTTCTTTCTAGATTGATTGCTGACAAGCGGAAAGGAATTGGCATAAGTCAGGGTTCTTAAACTTTGGCACTCATGGACCCCTCCCAGTATGTTTTCACATGTATGAAATAAAGAACATGGTTGTAAAATGAATCAATTATATTGAAATGCAGCATTCAGAGTATTTAAAAATTGACATAGTAATGTATATGTTATTTTATTAGTCCAGTAAATAAGATCTAGTCATGTGGTGATGCGTGCTGAGTATAAACGATTTTGAAAATGGTAGCGAGTGTAAAGGGTATTTTCAGATATCAAGTACTAATGGTATATTAAAAATGATTTCTGTCACTGACAAAGTCATAGGTACTATTTACTACTGTTCTGCTCTGTAACTAAATTCACAATTGAAATTAAAGACAGTTTTCCTTCTATCCAATTACTTGGCCCTTGACTCCAGTGTAAGACCCCTTGACTTAGACTGGTCTCATGGGAAATGCAGAGGAGGCCAAGCACAGTGATCACAAGGATCTTTATCCCAGGGTTTGCAATACTTTTAAAAATTAGCACCCAGAAAATCCAGCTACATCTGAAATGAGTGATGTGAAAGGACTTGGAGTAGGTAAGAAATATCACTAAATTTTGAGTGGTCAGAATTGAGTGTTATATTACTTGAGCTTTCATTGTGTGTGTGTGTGTGTGTGTGTGTGTGTGTAATGTGTGTTGTGTATACACAGACATACACATCGTTTTTTCACTGTGTGGGACTATATATATAGATCATTTGATCTTTTCAAACGTACTGCCACTGTGAAAAAAGTCACAGTTTATGTCAATAGTGTTATCTTTGTTGCTGGAAGATTGCTGTTCTTAGGGACTATTTAAGCACTGTCTTATTCTGAGTCTTCTAAAGATCCTGTGAAAAATATGGAGGGAATAAAATTCAGTTTCTGCTAAGGAGCTAGCCTAGACACCATTATCTTCTGCGGGCGGTAACCCTCTTTCAATTGACCTTTTTAATTCTTTCATTCAGTAGTAGTTTGACTTTGGGCAAGTTAGTTACCTTTTCAGTCTCTGTTTCCTGATCTGTAAAAGGTCAGTGCTAGTTCCTCCTGATGGAAAGTTCAGTAAATGTTAGCTGTTTTTATGCTGTTATTGTACATATTGTTCTTTCTTTCCTAATGCAAACTCTGCAATGGTCTTTTTTCAGGATTTTGAACGTTCCCGGGCATTTAATTTTTTAAATGAGATAAAGAAGAGGTTCCAGACTACATATGGTTCAAGAGCACAGACTGCACTTCCTTATGCCATGAACAGCGAGTTCTCAAGTGTCTTGGCCGCACAGCTGGTAAGATGTTCTCAGGATATAATGCTTTGATTCATGTCTCCCTTAGTATTTTAAAGTACTGTGAACATAGGGGACCCTAACCTTAACGTATTTTTATGAGTGTGTTAGTATATACCAACATAATAAAGCTTCCCTGCCAAAAAAAATGTATGGGAACCTTTTAGTGTGGAAAACTAATAATCAGTGATACTGTGCATTAAAGTGGTCAGAGTATCTCAGGATTGGATGGACATCGAAAGTCATCTCCTTCAATTACCCAGCTAATGTGTAAATCCACTCAGCGTGGCAGATCGCCTCTTACTCTCTGCCATTAGCCTCCTACCCTCCCATGACGCAGATGCAATGTTTGAACAACTCAGATTAATCGTTTGGAAGCCTGTTCATGTACACGAATACCTAGTTATCCCCTTAGTGAAGTTCTCCGTGTATATACACCTCTGCAATACTATACTGCCCTTGTCAAGCTAGAAAATATCTCCATGCCTCGGTAAGTTGCATCGTGTCGCTTTGTAGTCAGACTCCTCCCTGACTCCGTACGCCTGGCAGCTAACACTATCACCACAAATTAACCTGTCTTTCTACAACTTCTTGCAAATGGGATCAGCACACTGCGCACTCCCTTATCTTGCTTATTTTTCTCAGTAATGCTTTTGATACTTATCCATATTTTATCGATCATTATTAGTTCCCGTTTGCTGGCTAGTAGTGTAGGCATATACTTATATGCTTATCCATTCCTCTGTTGGTAGATATTTAAGCTGCTTCCAGTTTTCAGCTTTTGAATAAAGATATAAACATTCATACAAGCCTATGTGTGCACATTAGTTTTTATTTCTCTTTGGTAAATACCTATAATAAAACTGCTGGGTCATATGGTGAGTAATACTTAATTTTATAATAAATGAAACTTTTTTCCCAAATGAGAAAAAGGGACTTACTGTAATTGAATGCATTCCTTTTCATGGCTAAAAATACTTCTTTTTTTGTATTGCATTCTGACGATTCAGTCTTCTGGGAATGCAGTTCCTTTAAATAGTCATAAATCCTTACTGTTAAGTCAGTTGTTTGTTTCAGACTTCTCATTAGTAAACATTTATGTCTGTAAACAGCACCAACAAAACAGGTTTTCAAGATAGAGTCAAAAATAAACAGGATCAGCCGGCAGCGAAACTTTCAACTTCGCCATTTTGTCATTGTTTCCAGATCTGTGTGCGATCCTCTGCACAAATCTGTGCCAGTATCTTTGGGTGTCAATGCCGCTAAGAGCAACATCTTCTCTGTAGAGTTTTTGGAAGGATTGAATAGTACCCTTGGCTTGACGCATTTAGCACAGTGAGCTGACTGGAATGTTATGTGTTAAGTACTCTAGATTTGTTAGCGCTTAGATAGTCACTTCAACATGTACACTGTCACCGCTGTCATGGATTTTCTAGAACCTGTGAGCAACCAGTGAAAATAGGATGTACATTCTGACCCCAGCAGATATAAGAACAGATCCTCGGAAGCCGGGCAAGCACCTCCATCATCATATCCAAGAAGTGAGGGTCAATTTGGGTGCGCCCTTCCACTTTGGGTCCTCTGCTCCAAAAACAGCCTTCCTGTTTGCTTCTTCTTCATCTGAGCATAGATTATATTGGATTGTTGGAAATGTCATGACGAGTTTTTTCTCTGTTTTTCAAGCAGAAATATGTCATGGTTTTTCTAACAACAACCCAACAGAACCCCTACTTCTGCCCCTAAAGTCTAATATATATTTGATAGGCTGTAAGACACCTACTTCATTTAAAATAAACTATTATAACATGTTCTCCATCGTCGCACGTAGGCCTGGTAATAGTTTTTCAATGAAGTAACATAGCCTTTGTGTATAAGTAGTGGTATAACTTTGTGGTGCTCTTTGGTGTCATTACTTTTCCTTTTGTTTTCTTATTATAAATAATGTGTGGTACCATAAGTTAAATCTTATTTTCTTATAGAAACATCACTCTGAGAATAAGGGCCTAGACAAAGTGGTGGAGACACAGGCCCAAGTGGATGAACTGAAAGGAATCATGGTCAGAAACATAGGTATGTTTCCAGGCATAGCCCGCATGCATATGGCCGAGTGGTGATAGATTCCTTGATTTGGGTCAAAATACTGCGAAGAGCCTGAAACACCATTATTTTGTTCTTACTGTTGGAGGCTATTTATCAGCTGAGATGTGGAGATCACTAAGCTGTCATTAGTAATCTATGTGAATGGCCTTGACTGGCCTTTTCTTCTAAATTTGTGGGTTTGCTTACCAACGTTAATTTCTGAAACTTTTCAACTTTAGCAGTTTAGAATAAGCTGGTCCTCACAGAACTGAAGCATGCGTAAGAGGGAGGAGGGGCACAGGTGAGAACAGAGGGAAGGAAGCGCAGCGCCTGTGGTGGTGTGGTGGTGTGGTGGTGGTGTGCTGCGGTGGGCAGTACCTGCTGGAGGGAGCCAAAACCACCTCAGTTACCAAACAGATGTCCCAGTAGCTTAGTCAGTTTCCACTGGAAAAACCCAGAGAGTGGATCTTATCAGTAGATATTTAAGTTACCATTTTGTCTCTTTAGTAACTTTGTAGTTCTTCATGGAAAGAATGAGATCAAAAAACTATTTGGTATTCAAAATAATCAATTATAATATAAATTCCGTAGGCCTATGTTTTTTCACCAACCTGTTAAAATTATCCTGAAAAATGCATCGTTTATTTTATTTTTTTTAAAGATTTATTCATTCGTACAGAACGGGGGTACAGGCCAGAGATGCGGAGGGTGAGAGGATTCACCAGGGACAGAGTGGGGAGCAGCACAGGCAGATGGACGAAGTCCACTGCCGAGGGGAGCAGCGGGCGGGTCAGGAGAGGTCTGCTGTGCCATGGGGTCACCTCTGGGGCGGCGGGGATCGAGCTCATGCGGAAGCGGCTTCAGCTTCTTAGTGCTGTGCTTCACCCCGCTGCGCCACCAGGGAGGGCCTCAACTACTTTTAAAGTACCTATTCTTAGAATTACCGAAACAGCAATTGTAAAATGTAGCAAAAAACTTTGTAATCATCTCCATTTAACAGCTTTATTGAGATATATTTGCCCTCCAGTTCACCAGCTAGTTTGGCTATCTTCACAGAATTGCAGTTACTGCCACAAGCAGCTTTAGGATATTTCCCCAAAAGCAATCTACCCATGATTGTCACTCCCCTTTGCCCTCAGCCCCCGGACCTAAGCAGCAGTTAGTCTTCTTTTTGTATCTGTAGATTTTGCTGCTTTCACTTACCATCCGGACTGTGAAGTTCGTGTGCAGCATGTCAGCGCTGCATTCCTTGTTATTGCCGCATAATTTCTCACTGTGTCCGTGTGTTTTATTTCCTCATTCAGCTCTAGACACACATTCGGATTGTTCCCACTGTTCGGCTAGTATGAATATAATGCTTCTCTGAATATTTGTGTACAAATTTTTTTGGTGAGCATTCTTCCGTGTTCTTGGAATTGCTGGGTTACATGCTAACTTTCAGGCCAAGCGTTGGTGCAGCGCCATACCACTGCCTTCCTGGTGACAGTGCGTGCCGGTTCCAGTTTCTCCACATCCTCTTGTTACTATGTCTTTGATTATGGCTCACCTGGTACGTGTGCAGTGCTGTCTTACTATGGGTTTGATTTTTATTTTGATCGCCTTTTCATGCATTTATGGGCCACTTCTTTGTCTTTGGACAATTATCTATTCAGAACTGTCATTTTGTAAGTTTGTTGCCTTTTTATCATGGAACTGTGGATGAGTTCTTGGTATAGACTCTTTGCAGGTATATGGTTTGCAAGTATTTTCTCCCATTCTAATGGATTATCTTTTTACTTTCTGAGCAGTATCCTTTGGAGTTTTTAAAGTTTTGAGAAAGTGTTTAATTTTGATAAAGTCCTATTGGCTTTTTCCTTTTGTAGTTTGTCCTTGGTCATATATAAGAAACCATTGCTGAACTCCAGCTCACAAAGATTTACTCCTGTGTTTATTTCTAAGAGATCTGTAGCTTTAGCTCTTACATTTAGGTCTGTGATCTGTTTTGAATTCATGTTTGTGTGTAAGGTAAGGAAAGGGTCTGACTTAATTCTCTTACATGTTTTATCCAGTTACTTTTCATTTGTTGAAAAGACTTTCTGTCCTCATTGACAGGGCTTGGCATCCTAATAAAAGATCCATTATCCGTTGGTATATTGATTAATTTCTGGGCTCTCAGTTCTGTGCCATTTATTTGTAGGTCTGTCCTGATGCTGGTACCACACTGTCAGGATTATTATGGACTTGTTGTGGCTTTTAAGATCCAGAAGTATGAATCTTCCAACTTTCCCCCCCCAAGATTGTTTTGACTATTCTGGGTATCTTTCATTTCCATAAATATTTTAGAATGAGCTTGTTAGTTTCTGTGAAAGGAAAATGGTAGCTAGGGTTTTGCAAATCCATGATTTTCAGAAATCATGAATGGAACCATAAACCAAAATCATAAATTGAAAAACGAGGTGTTTTTCCATTCGCGTAGGTGTCTCTTTACATTTTTAAACAATGCTTATATTTTTTCGTTGTACAAATTTTACATGGCAGAAACTCTGCTCGACCAGACATTAGGCAACTTCCTGTTGGCCTCGCCCTGGGCTCCCCCTCGGCCTGCCCGAGCTGGTCCTAGCGGACGCCTGCTGCGTCAGTCTTCTACTAGCCTTGGCGTCTGACTGCCCTTGATTGCTGGTCAAGTTCCTCATCATCTACCTTGCTGTGTCCTTAGCCTGCCTTTAGCAAGATTCTTTCCTTTTTGATATCATAAAAGTTTATTTTTACATCCCTTTGCGCCTTTTTCCATCGCAGTTGTAATCCCCATGGACTTTCCATCCCCAGATCACCTGTGCTGTCACTGTGGTCCTGTGGACTCCCCTCCCCCACCCCCACTGCACCCCCATGAAATGTCTCTGGTATATGGCTGTTCATTATTATTATTCCCCCACCCACCCCGGTCCTTTATGCTCCTGCTATGAGTGAAGCCACCCGGTGTTTTTCCTTTTCTTTCTGGCTCATTTCATAAAGCACGATCCCTTCCAGCTCCATCCATGTTGCTGCGGAAGGCATGAGTTTATCTTTTTTGGTTGCTGGGTAATATTCCGTTGTGTATATGCACCACATCTTTTTAATCCGGTCATCTACTTTGGGGCATTTGGGCTGCTTCCATGTCTTTCCAATTGTGAATAAAGCAGCAATAAACATGGGAGTGCAGGCGTCTTTTTGAATCAGTGTTTTTGTGTCTTTTGGGTAGATACCTAGGAGTGGGATGGCTGGGTCATAGGGAAGCTCCAGTTTTAGCAGTTTCAGAAACCTCCAAACAATTTTCCATAGTGTTCGTACTATTTTTTATAGCAAGATTCTTTTCGGTCAGTTTAGCAAGGATCCCTTACCCTTGATTTCTCCTCTTAGTAATTTTCCATTCACTGATCACTCCTTCACTCTGTTCTGTGGCTATAAATCCCCATCTGTCCTTGTTTTGGTTTTTAATTTTGAAATAATCATAATTTACATATAACACATTTAAGTTTAAAGTGTGTAACATGTTGATTAGATACATTCATATATTATTACATTGTAATTACCATCTTAGTTTTAACTAACATCTCTATCAAGCCACATGAGCATTTTACTGTGTGTGGTAAGACTATCTAAAATCTAGTCTCTCAGCAATTTTTTTAAAGATTTATTTATTGATGCATACAGAACTGGGATACAGGCTAGAGGGGCAAGGGCAGCAAAAGGATTCACCAGAGACAGCGGGGAGCAGAACAGGCGTGTGGACGAAGTCCTCTGCTGAGGGGAGCAGTGGGCAGGTCAGGAGAGGTCTGCTGTGCCATGTAGGTCATCTCTGAGGCCGGGGATTGAACTCGCACTGAAGCAGCTTACAGTGCTTCATCCTAACCTGTTGCACCACCAGGGAGGGCCCTGTGTCCTGCTCCCCACTCTGTCTCTGGTGAATCCTCTCACTGACCCTGCACCTCTGGCCTGTACCCCAGTTCTGTATGCATCAATAAATAAATCTTAAAAAAAAAAAAAGCTATAGCGGACCTTCCCTGGTGGCACAGCAGGTTAAAGCACAGCATTAAGAAGCTAAAGTAACTTCAGCATGAGTTCGATCCCCTCCCCAGAGGTGACCCACAGGGCACAGCAGACCTCTCCTGACCCGCCCGCTGCTCCCTTAACAGTGTACTTCATCAGTCATCCTGTCCTGCTCCCCACTCTGTCTCTGGGGAATCCTCTCACCGCCCCTGCACCTCTGGCCTGTACCCAATTCTGTATGAATAAATACATATTTTTTAAAAGACGCTATAGCACTCATATCTGGCCAGCTTCCTGTTTTTCTGTCTATACAAAGTTTCATTGGAAACAGTCATCTCCATTCATTTACAAATTGTCTATTTGACTGAGCAATTGTGACAGTTCATTTGAATACCTGGTCTTTAACAAAGCAACAACAACAAATTCTTACGCTAGTTGATAATTTTTTGAAGTCTTATCACTGAAGGATAGAAGTACTTCTGTAATGAATATAAGTTGTCAATAATACTAACTATAATTAAAATTGGATTTTACTTCAAGATAAAAATGGCAGGTTTATAATATAAACATACTTTTTTTCCCCCAACATTTTCAGATCTGGTAGCTCAGCGAGGAGAAAGATTGGAATTATTGATAGATAAGACAGAAAATCTTGTGGATTCGGTAAGTGTGGGATATTATAATGTTTTTCAGGATGTAGGGAAACTGTGGTTGACTAATGTCTTAATTCAGTACTTTAGTGTTTTATTTTTCTTTCTTTCCTCCATTTTGTGATTGCACTGTGGTAATGAAGATGACAATGAGGTATGGGGGAAAAAACCATGACTCATTAATAGCCACTAAGAAGCTTTGGTTTGAAAACATACTCAGTGTACATAAGTCTTTAAAGCTTGGACTCATGCCTACATGATTTGATTCCTCAGCTGTATCTTTACTAGTCTGCTGCTCTGTGTATAATTTATTAAATGTGAAACAAACATATGGCCAGATGAGGCCCAGTTTGAATACTGACAACTGGACAGCCATTTTCTTGCTTATCACAACAGCTTGTGCTTCCCTGATATTACGCAAGTGTCATGGATTGGAAAGGGCCAATGAGCCTTAAAGGGGACAGTATACTCCTGTGAATTACTTATGCTATAATTATGTGTCTCTGTATCTCCCATCTGGCTAGTGAGTGAAAGTTTACAGTGGGGAAAAGGAGGACAGAGCAGAGGTAAGTTACTGTTTGGGTCTATATGATTGTAAATGCAGTGTAGAGTACAACTTTAGACCTTGAAACAGACCAGTAAGTGATCATGTTTAGTGAGTAGTGGTATTCATAGCAGCTAGATTATAATGGTTAACTGCCTGGATTTGATTCCCGTCTCTGCCACTTGCTGTGTGACCTTAGGCAATTTAGTTAACCTCTCTGTACTTCTGCTGTCATCCTCTGTGAAATACAGAGAGACCAGTTTCATAGTGTTTCAAGAGTTAAACCAGGTGTCTAGCACAGTGTCTGGTACACTCTAAGAGCTGTTTAAATCCTGGTCACTGTTAGTTTTACAGGGACATCTATTAATAGGTCTTCTGAAGATAGCAGTTTCTTCAAAAAAGCATGTGGTAATTGGAGGGATGGTGGCACTATTTGTGATGTGAAAACACCCGCAGTTCAATCATACCTCTTTGTAGCTCTCTGCTTGGAGGCAAAGAAGTATCTGACCAAAAATCTACAGACCAGTTTCCTTGGTACTTCCAATTCACCTTGTGTTTTTAGTCTCTGAAGATTACCTTAATTTTTCTGGAATGGTCTGTGTTTGCGTTGTGGCGTTATTTTGTTGACTATATGACCCCAAGTAACAAAAGGTACTACTTGTCTCTCTTTATGGAGGAATAATGTACATACAATAAGATAGCAGTGGACTTATTATAAGTGTACAACACTGTCATTTTTCACATGTCTAAACCCATTTGACTTCAAGATACATTTCTAACACCTTCGAAGGCCATATCATTGGCTCTTCAAATTAGTAATCCCCAACAGAGGATACCATTTTTTGACTTTGGTCACAGTAGTGTATTGCCTTTTCTTGAAATAAATAGAAATGGAATCATTTTATATAACACTTGCGAGTGGTCTCTTTTCCCATTATGTTTTGTCCATGTTAAATGTAGTAGTAGTTTGTTCTTTTTTAACGTTTATACCATCCCATCATACAATGTATGTATCATGATCTTTAATTATTTTTTCACAATTAAAAAAAAAATCTCCTCTGTGGGGTTCTGTTTCGGGAGTCTCTGTTTTAGTCCATTGATTTTTCTATCTTTTTATCAGTAGCACATTTTATTGAGAAGTGGCTTTATAGAATTCTCTTAATGTCTTTCAGCTGTTCTTCTTCCAGATTGTCTCCATGTTGCATTTCTAGTTCAGAACAAGGTTATTTTCCATCATTATAAAACCTGGGTCTTTGTGATTACATTCAATCTGTATGTCAGTTTAGAAAGAATTGGTATCTTAACAGCATTGAACCTTCCTGTCCATACATATGGCATCTCTCTACGTTTACTTTCAGATTACATTTTTTCTGTGGTGTTATATAGTTTTTGGGGGTTTGCACCTATTTTGTGAAATCAACTTTTCAGTACTTTCATAAATTTGTAAAATTTATAAATTTATAAATTTTTACAATCTCACTTTCTAAATTTCATTGCTAATATAGTGAAATAAAGTTAATTTTTGTATATTGATCGAATTTGTATTCTGCAAATTTGCAAGATTCATATATTAATTCTAGTAGCTTTTTCGGGTAGTTTCCTGCCATTTATTTCTTTTTCTTAGCTTATTACACTGGCTAGAACTTTCTGCACAATAGTGAATATAGGTGGCGGTGGGCATTCTTGCATGATGCACATCTTATGGGGAAGATGTGCATTGTTGTCATGTTACAGATGTGCATTGTTGTCATGTTAGAGGACAGGGGGAGAGGGGCACCCCTGAAGCCCCAAACCTGCCTGCCCTAAGTGGGTTCTGCCATCCGCCGTAACAAGACAAAACATATAACACTTTAATGAAAAGGGACTTGAATACAGTGAGTATACAATACGGAACACAGAGAATAGAACTTCTAAATCAAACACCTGAAGTGACCCGTCCCCTCGTGGGCAAAAGTCCACCCAAAAGGGATGGGCCCAGAGCAAGGCCTGAAAGCGGCCACAAGACTAAAGCACCTTCTGGCCGCGACCCATGGAAAAGGGTCAGCAATGGCCAGACGAGTCTGGGAGGAAAAGAGCAAAATCAAAATCAGTATAAACTGCCATAGTCACCTCCCTACAGGGATCTCACCCACATCTGCCTTCACCAGTCCAGGGTCAGGAAACAAGCCCGATTTCTTCCTCACACGCTCGCTGCTCCATGTGGCTTCCTCAGGTCTCCTCCTTCTCCATCCTGCTTCCTTCTCTTCTCTCTCCTCTTCTTCCCTTTTTCCTAGGGACCCCCCTGTTACAGTTAGTGCTAGTTTTTTTTTTTTGTAGGTCCCCTTTATCATGTGGAAAAAGTTCCCATCAATTCCTCATTTGAGAGTTTCATTCATGAATTTTATCAAGTGTTTTTTTTCTATTGCATTATAATTGTAAACTACATTGAGTTTACAAACAGTTTTGCATTACAAAAAGCTCTTATTATCCCTTTTATATAGTGCCTTATTGTATTTGCTGTTGTTCAGGAATTTTGCATCTGTGTTCATAAGGAATGTTGGTTTGTAATTCATCTTTCTTTTTAGTTTTTGGTATCAGGGATTTGCATGTCTCATTAATACACAAGTGGGGAAATACTACCTCTCTGTGGTCTCTGAAAGCGTTTAGGTACTGTTAGTTTTATCTCTTCCTTAGATGTTTAGAAGCATTCACCAGTGAAGCAGTCTTAGCCTGCAGTTTCCTTTCTGGGAAGGGTTTCAGTCTACTGTCTTTGCTGTTTGATTCCTGTTTGGCCAATCTGTTCTTTATAAGTCTTTGATTTATCATGGTCTGCCTCGCAGTGGTAACAAATAGTGTAATGACTTTACGATGCCTGCCTCCATTTTCCCATTCTGGCCTTGAAGCTACTGTTGTCATAGTTTTATTTATACACATACTATAAACTTTACAATACTATTATTTTTATTTAAGCAGTTAATTGTCTTTTAAAGGGACTTAAATAATAGGTAAAAATATCTTTTCTGTATACCCATCTAGATTCCATTTCTGGGCTCTTACTTTTTTTTCTTATGTGGGTTTATAGTTTTCATCAAATTATGAAAACATTCAGCTACATGTACATGAAGCTACTTGAAGTTGTCAAGTATTCACTGATGCTTTGTTCATTTTTTTGGTCTTTTTCCACGGTTTGGTCTTTTTTCAGTTTCTACTGCTATATTTTCAAGTTTACTTATATTTTCTTCTGTACTTTTTGGAAATCTGCTATTACTTCCCATCATGTATTTTTTTATCCTTCCAAGTTTGACTTGGATTATTTTTTATGTCAGTGTGTCTCATCAGCATGTGATGCTTTCCTCTTAACTTCTTGAACATATGAGATATAATTATGATCCTCTTAAATGTAATGTAAATATTGATAGTTGTGTTTAAGCCAGCCATCTTGCTCTTTTGTTTTTATTTACCCCATCCTCTGTACCTGTTTTTCTTGAGTTTTGTTTACTTTGGCTATTTTTTTAAAAAGTTTAATTTGATTACCACTGGGATTTTTTGCTAACAACAGTATTGAATTCTTTGTTGATAAAATATTCACAGGACATACAATTCACCTATGTAAAGTATACAGTTCATTGGGTTCTGGTATACTACAAGTTTTTAAATTGTGTTAAAATAGAACAGAAATGGACCGTTGTAATTTTACCATGTAGTCTACAATTCAGTGCTGCTACTTACACCAAAGTACAGTGTACAACCATCACTACTGTTTATTTCCAAAACTTTTCATCATCCCAGACAGAATTTCTGTACCCAGTAAGCAATATCTGCCCCTTCTCCCAATCTACAGCCTCCTGCAGTCTACTTTCTGTCTCTATGAATTTACTTTTTTTAGGTAGCTCATGCAAGTAGATTCACAAAATGCATATTGTAGTATGTATCAGCACTTCATTCCTTTTATGCTGAATAAAATTCCTTTGTATTTTTATACCCTATTTCAGTTATCCTTTTATCTGTTGACTGACCCGTGGGTTGTCTCCATTTTTGTGCTCCTGTGACTAACGCTGCTGTGAATGTTGGCATACAAACATCTGTTCAAATCCTTGGTTTCAGTTTCTTTGGATCTATATTGTAGCAGTAGAATTGGCTATCAACATAGCTGCTGCACCATGTGCTTACTGGCCATTTGTGTGTCTTCTTTGGAGACGTTGTTCAGGTCCTTTGCCGATTTTTTAACTAATCCATCTCATGCCAGTGAAGTCACCTACGTATGGTGTCATTCTCAGAGGGATTTTGATATCTTCTTGTTCTCTTCTATTTACACAATACGGCCTCAGCCCCCACCAACAGTTGTTCTTTATTGCTGACCTGGTTTTCAATAGATGAGTTGTCACTGTTCAAATATTGACTGGGGGAATGTGGATGAATCTCCATTCAACCTTTTGAATCGCATGACTATATTAAGGTTTATTAGTGTCATTGTTCACCACTTCATCCACATGATTTTCATCCTTTTGATTTCTTTATCATGATTTGGCTTGTAATTGCAGAGTTTAGGTGATTGAGTTCACCAAAAATGTATCATAGAGTGCACAGCCCCCAGACCGTCCTCACGCTAGCAATTGTAAGTTGGTTCCTCAAACCTCCATCAGGTTTTATAGTTCAAAACAAGGACTCACAGAACTCCATGAAAGCTGCACTGTACTTACGATTATGGTTTATTATGGGCAAAAGATGTGTATTAAGCTCCCCTGAGAGAAGACACGCATAGGGTGGAGTTTGGGAGGTACCAAACCTAGAAACTTCTGTTGTGTTCTTTCTGTGGAGCCAGCACACAGTGGTTTCCAGGCCGATGTGGAGAGGTGTGACAGTATAAATCAAGACTGCCCCACAGAAAGGCTTGCGCAGGCCCCTGCGTGCAGTCTCGCCGGCGTTGCACCGCATAGGCACAGCTGGTGCCTACCTGCTGGGTTTCGGTCTCCAGTGCCCATCCCTTCTAGCTGTAACCCAGAGCCTCCACTCTCAGTCCGATAGTTGGGCATTTTGCAGGGACCAGTACCCATTCTAAATCAAATTGTTTCTGTCTGGGTAGCCCATGACTCCCAGGCAAGCAACAGATGGCACAGGCCAGACCCCTTTGGGGCAAGGTTAAGTTCTGTACTGTATACTACTCCCTTTGTTTCCCTCCTCAGTCTGGAGACTTACAGAATTAAATAAATAAATATGTGGGCATTATAGAATGTTAGTGAAATACGGGGGAGCAGATTCCTTCTTTCCATATTCTTGCCTTGTGCTGGGCACTCCTTTCAAAATGAAGAATCAAGTTTCTTGGTCCCTTGACTATTGCTTATTTTCGGTGGTGCGGGTGCAGGGGGTGGTTGAGGGGAGCTATTTTCTCCCTTCTGCAACTGTTACTATGTACCTACATCAGCACCAGGCATGCAGTAGGGACTAAATGTCTGTTGCTTATGTATAGATTGATCCAGGATTTGCTTGATCAGTATTTCATGTACCTGATGCTTTTTTTAAAAAAAAGATTGATTTATTTATGCATACAGAGCTGGGATACAGGCCAGAGGTGCAGGAGTGAGAGGATTCACCAGAGACAGAGCGGGGAGCAGAGCAGGCCACTGCTGAGAGGAGCAGCGGGTGGATCAGGAGAGGTCTGCCGTGCCATGTGGGTCACCCCCTTGACTGGGAATCAAACTCTTAGTGCTGTGCTTTACCCCCAGCGCCACCAGGGAAGGCTTTTGTTTATAATTTCCATCCAAGACATTTTGTTTTCTGAATTTTTCAAGTTGTTCTCACAGAATTAGCCTTTGGCCATTTGTATTCTGTTACTTACATTTTCTTTAATTTTTAAATGATGCCATAAATTTCTTTAAAAATATATATTTTTAGCCCTCCCTGGTGGTGCAGCGGGTTAAAGTGCAGCACTGCAAGCCAGCTGCAGCTGCTTCCGTGTGAATTCGATCCCCAGACTTGGAGCTGACCCACAGGGCGCAGCAGACCCCTCCTGACCCACTGGCTGCTCCCCTCAGCAGTGTGCTTTGTCAGTCCACCTGTTCTGCTCCCCACTCTCTCTCTGGTGAATCCTCTCACTGCCCCTGTGCCTCTGGCTTGTACCCCAGTTCTGGATGAATAAATAAATAAATAAATCTTTAAAATATATACATCTATATTTTCTCATATTGTCTTATATTCCCTAGTTTTTCCTTTTCCATATCTCCTAACTGATGTGTTTTAAATCAGTGCCGTTATGTTTTGTGGTCTGAGGACACCTGTTAGATTTTTTTTTATTTATTTTATTTATGCACACAGAAGTGGGGTACAGGCCAGAGGTGCAGGGGCGGTGAGAGGATTCACCAGAGACAGAGCGGGGAGCAGA